ATTTACATTTTTATTTTATTTAACGTACAATTTTATGTTTTTTTTTTTTGATAGGGTTTAACATCTAAGGTCATATCCCCTTTATACACCAGTTTGTACCACACAACTGCTTCTACTACCTCACATTTTCGGGTCACACTTTTTGGTATATACCGACATCTTTCAGAAATTCAAGTGTCCTTTTCATATTCACGGGGTTGCACAAGTTATCTACGTACGTCATTTCTAATTTATGTGTAATTCGTTGTAATTGGTATTTTGGACAATCTTGTATTACGTGTTTTATATTCAATACCACATGACACTGATTACAGCGAGGAGCAGCTTCACCTTTAAGCAGATGTTGATGTGTAAGTTTAGTGTGCCCTATTCGTATACGGTGAGCCTTTACATTATCTTCCCTAGGTGCATGCTGCTGACCATACATGCCAGAAACGCGTGGTTTAATATTGCTTAGGTGAGTATTGTTGTCCATCTTTGTTGCCATTTTTCAATTGTGCATTGTTTTAATAGGTAGTTTTTTTAGGTCTTCTGCATCTTTTTGTTTCACATCAACGTGTTCGTTTGAGATGACAGATCTGGCAGCATTATCTGCTAACTCATTTCCTGCTATTCCGACATGACTCAGAACCCATACGATTATAACAGATATTCCTTCTTGATTTAGGTATTTCAGGGTCGATTGGCATACCAGATTTAGAGGATCTTTCGAGTATAGTTGCAGTAAGTTGTTCAACGTGTTCAAGCAGTCTGTAATGATTAGATAATTTTTCGCAGCATTTTCCATTGAACAATACAACATAGCCTGCCATAGCGCATATTGTTCTGCAAAAATACTCGACGCATTGTTGTTCAATCTCCACGTATATTGGACATCGGCAATATGTATGGCACTTCCATGGCCTTTCCGTTAACCCGGAAAAGACCGAGGTTGTTTCATTCACTCAATAGAAGGAGAGCGGATCTTGCTGGGCTCGCTCTTCGAGGACGTCAACTGGGTCTGACCAGGTCAGTGAAATACCTGGGAGTCATCATTGACTCCCGCCTGACTTGGAAAGGGCACATTGAGCTTATAAGCAAAAAGGCCACTGCATGTCTATGGGCATGTAGAAGGGCTTTTGGTTGTACATGGGTGTAACAGTTTAGTTTATTCATATTCAAATTTCAAAAATTACCGCTTGCTAGGTTAGGTAGGATATAGGTGAGATGGCGTCACTTGTACGCGTGTTTCTTTCCTCGCGCAGAATCGCGTTATTTTTTCACTTCATTTCCGTTTTAAAGCCAACGAGGTTGTACTTGTTGTAGAGCGTGGCATTGTGAATTCTTCTTAAACCAGTGGGTAATATTTGCCATCATTCACGTGAAATCTCTGGCAATTTTACCTTTTTATTGGCGTTGTCGAGTAGTGTAACTCAGAAGCCGTTTTCTCCATTGCGAGGCTATATCTGGTTGAAGTTCATCGCCCTACCTACATATTCACAATTTGAGGTTGGATAATTTCCATATTTCATTGATTTAAGTATTTTTCATTACCCTCCTGACGATTTCAGGTATGTTATTAAAAATCTCGTTAAGGGAGTGTTACATCTTCATTACTTTTAGGGGGTCCATGTAGTAGATGAATTCTTGTACCGGTCAATCCATGTACAGACGAATCCTTGTATGGTATAGTTTATAGTATATCCTTGCACATTCTTGTGTGCGGAGGACATTGACCTGGCATAATTTTGGGATAGTAAATGAATTTGCATCTTGCGAATATTCCGGAGTACGAACACCTGTTGATTGCCGGCAGCTATCCGGCGTACCACCGAGTAGATAAGCGCTAACACCTAAACGATACCGGGAGCGACCAGCTGATTGTGGAATTTTCGGAAGATACGATCTTTTACACAACCTTTTTTTTATTTGCTTCAATACCGTTAATCTAGTGTAACCTTCCGACGATTTATGATTGGAGCTTTGTATTTTGTTCGCATCTAGTGTTTGAGGTCGTGGCTCTCTTCAAGAGCAACGCACCTGTATTTAACGTATGGGTAAACGAGCCGGCTACGAGTAAGCTATTTTTTTTTGGCCCTTCCGGCTCATATAATCGTTCCGAGCGTTGTAGCTTGGGGTTTGTTTTTGTGTTACAGAACTGGAACTTCGAAGGAGAGCTCTTTTTCGGAGAAGACAGCGTATGTGTTATTCAAGGTAAGATTTTTAATTTACTTGTACCCAGTGTTGCCTATATGAGTTGTTATTCGGGTTAACTTAATTCAATCTTTGAATCCATTGAAATCTTAACTACATTTTTGCTCGATCATTGTTGTAGGGGTCTGGTAACGTAATTATTAGGGAAGTGTTCATGAATTTATTTGGGGATTATTTTTGTCATTTAAAGTATTTGTTATTGTCGTATTGAAGATACATTTTATTTGCCGATCCTGCACCGTTTTGCCAGGATTAATAAATCAGAATTGCTCGTAGTGAATTTATTATTTGGCTCTCTTGTGTTTTCCCAATTTCTATACAGGAGAGGTCAGAATTTGTGCAAAATTGGGTGGCGCTCAACTAATCATTTCTAGTGACTACCAAAGATCAAAAACTTATGTTATATGCCCAAACGAACAAACCGCTGTGGAAGATTCTCATCTCGAGCCCTTCTTTTAATTAAGAATCTGAGCTAGCTGGCCGTTTATGCGGCGGGGTTTGAGTTTTACAGCGCCGAACTAACCTCACGTTATATGGGGCTTGAACCCTCGACTGGTATACTGGCTTTACACTGTATTGATAAGGCCAATAATACTATATGGTGCACTTGTATGGTGGCCTGCCATGCGCAGGGTAACCTACAGGAAGCAGCTAGGAGTCACTGGAGCCCTAAAAACCACGCCAACCTTGGCCATGGAGGCACTTCTGGGACTAGAGCCTTTACACTTAGCTGTGGAGGCAGAGGCTCGGAAAGCTTCCATACGGCTAAACGATTGGGACGAATGGAAGGATCGAGGCAGCCTTGGGCACGGGCGGATCTGGGAGGAAACCCTCAGGACCGATCCCCTCCTCGCAAGGAGGGACGTGATCCGGGCTATCTTGCTAAGACCAAAGCGTTATAAAGTCATTCTCCCGGATAGGGAGCAGTGGCTGAACGCGGATTGCCCGTTCCTCAAACCTGAGGGGCTCGTGTGGTTTACAGACGGGTCCCAAACAGAAAGGGGAACGGGTGATCGACCGAGAGCGAGCGTCAGCGTCTCTCTTGGTCAGCATAGCACCGTGTTTCAGGCAGCAACCATCATGACCTGTGCACAGGAAAACCTCCGTAGAGGTTACCGTAATTAGCATACATACATATGCAGCGATAGTCAGGCGGCGTTGAGGGCCCTGTCGGTAGACAGGTTCCGATCAGCTACGGCGCTTGATTGCAGGCGAACCCTAGATAGATTAGGTGAGTCTAATAGGGTAAGCTTGATTTGGGTGCCAGCGCACTGCGGAATAGGGGGCAACGAAAGGGCGGACGAGTTGACTCGCGAAGGCAGTGGTGGGGTCTTCGTCGGGCCCGAGCCTACCCTAGGGATTGCTCCCTCCGTTGTTAGGCATTGGAAAATTAAACAAATGAAACACAATACAATAAAATAATAACAGCCGTAATTTGTAAATTATTCTGCTGTGTTTACATTCAGAAAATGCAGTTTTTTGAATTTGTAATCTTTTCTAAAATGCTGATTTCTAACCAAGAAACATTTAATATGCTGGCGGCGATGGTTCGTGGTCGATTCGGATAACGCAAATAGAAGATGGTCTCATTTTTAAAATACTCAAAACATATCGCCAGCATATTAAATGCTTCTTGGTTAGAAATCGGCATTTTAGAAAAGATTACAAATTCAAAAAACTGCACTTTCTGAATGTAAACACCGCAGAATAATTTACAAATTACGGATATTATTATTTTAAAATGCATCGTGTTTCATTTGTTTAATTTTCCAAGGCCTATTAAAAGTGTAGGGTGCTTTTCTTTCGCGCCATCGACAAATACCGGAAATACGTAAAAAGTAAATTTAAGATACAATTTAAGCATTTTTATTAATTAATTTTATTTTTCCAATATTTGAGGTTAGAAACGAGATTTTGAGAAACGGTTTCCACTGGCCTCTTTGGATGTTATTTGGCTACTTTTTCATAAAGAAAAAGTCATATCATTCCATTTGATTTTTTTTTAATTTTGGATCAATGGTGTCAAAGCTAGCCCCCTGGCGAAAAAGGATTCCACTAAATTAACTATATATTGGTTGATTCTCATTGCCAATGGAATGCTCTATAAACTGGTTCTCTTTAAAAATGGGAAAAAATTTTTTTTCTTTATTATACGAAATTTAAAGAAAATGCAATTTTAAAATTTAAGATGGCAGTTACGCCCTCTGTTGGTCATTTTTAGAACTTGAAAATATTTTCGAGCAATTCTTCATGACCGATTTACCCAATAACGGTTCTCGAGATATGGCCGAGAAACAGTCTTATTGGGTCACCCGGTACATTAATTTACACGCTGATGATCAATAAATCGCTGATTGAAAAGCGATTTCCGTACGTGATAACATTTTTATTTGTGAAGATTTGTTTTAATAGCGCTACTTAAATCTTACTATGTTCAAAGTGGCGAAGGGAACGTATGAAAAATACCCTTTAGCCATTCGAGCGTACGCGACGTCTTCTTTATGTTTTAACAGAGTAAGTGTATGAAACAGTGTTTTAAATAGCCTTTCAACCAAAAGAACGCGATTCTATAAATGTAATTCGCTGTAAATTTTATTTTTATGTACCCTTCCTTAGTAAGGTTAAGAAACGACCAATGTATTGTAAGTCTGTATTTAATCATCAATCTGAAATTAATAAAGTGTAATGCAAAAAATACTTATAATGTAACAGCTTCCGTTTAATCTGCTTCGCTCAATTGCAGTTAGTTATATTACATTAATGGGAATTTTCCACTCCCCATGCTTTGACATTTTGTAATTTCTGGTTATTTCTAGTAGGGTGATAGGTTGAAGAGTGCGCACGATGAGGGTTGTTTTATATAAGACCCCTAATCCGTGACATGCTTGCTTAGTGACTTGTTATCCGGTTACGTCAAGCATACTGTAACTAACGGCGCTTTTGTTTCACTTCATCTTGCAAGCAACAGGTGAGGGACATTTTCCAAATTTAACTTTAGTGTCAATTTTAAACGCATGCTAATGCTAAATATACATGGGGGGTAGTATTTATTTATTCGATGGCTTTGTTGGAGAAAAATGTAACTTCTCTTGTGTCAAATTAGGAGTTAAAACTTTGAAATTATTATGGTCATTTTGAATAATTTGAATTTAAACAGGAAATTGTAAAAGTGTCCTTGAAATAGTCTGGTATATTTTTTATTACACACAGTAGGATGTAGAGAGTATTTTACTGTAGAATCACCAGGAGATCCATATGTAAGTTCACATTAATCCTATAGCGACCACTTATTTTTCAGATAACATGGTTTCGTCGATACTTTTCGTTATTAGCGTCTCGATTGTGATGCTTCATCAAGATGGTTTAGCGCTATTTTTGCCGAAGCGAGTAAGTCACCATATTTTATATTTTACTTGCTACCACTAAATCTAGTTTTCTGGACCTTTTAACTTAGGTAATTGAATTTTTCGCATGCAAATAGCAATCCTACTACCTGTTTTTCAAAACAGAGTTTATGCGGATGACATATACGAAAACATATTTGGAACGCAGAACAAATGTCGAAAGGGGTGAATATTATCCAATTATTCCTGACTAGCATTTGAAACTGTAGGTTTGCCTTGGTCCCGTATTGTGGATAATCTCTTGTGCCAGTGCCCTCTTTCCGATTAACGTGCATTTAATTAAAAAAGTATTGTTTATTAATCGTTTGGGGTGCTAAAATCTACTCAAAGTCCAGGAACTAGCTTTAGGTAAATTTAAGAAAACTCGTGAGCGAGTATTTCCCACAATGCATGAGCTAATAATATTAAAGAGGTACAAGTGTATTATGTGTTGAGAAAAGATGACACATATTTGTATTTTACTGAGGTACATACAGTGTTCATTTACAGTAATTTTTCTAATTTTATTCGATAAATTAAAGTACTAACACTAATGGCGACCAAACGTATACTTCGCAAGCAAACCATAAAGTACCAAAGAACTGAAATTATATAGAAATCAATACAAGAAAATTTGTACAGGGTGTAAATCGAAAAGTGAAACATAGGCGTTTAACATGGGAAATTACTTTTTTTTTGCGCAAACGTTTCTTAATTATTTTACGCAAAAATACTTCAAATAAAAGTTATAAAGATATAATTCAAAATTCTGCATCTAAATCATGTGAAACGATTATTCTACCTCTTCTTGTACGCGAAAAAATTAATTACTTATAAAGATTCTGTTTTCACGAGTTTTTAGTCTAAGTAGCCATGGACTATGTTTTTCTTTTATCATAGTCCATGGCTACTTAGACTAAAAACTCGTGAAAACAGAATCTTTATAATTAATTTTTTCGAAGAGGTAGAATAATCGTTTCACATGATTTAGATGCAGAATTTATATCTCTATAACTTTCATTTGAAGTATTTTTGCGTAAAGTAATTCGGAAACGTTTGCGCAAAGAAAAAGTAATTTCCCATGTTAAACGCCTATGTTCCACTTTTCGATTTACACCCTGTACATTATAGAAAAATTTTTCATTCTTTTTATGTAACAACCAGTAGTTGAGCCTGTCCTGCTTCATGAGAAGTATATCTAATATTATATGTGTAAACAAAGTTATCCGCGTAAAAAGCAAGTATATGTAAATACATATTAAATAATATGTTATAACTTTGTTGACGAAGAGCTCCATTTATGTTTTGAGTGTTAAATTAACAAAGAAGAGAAGAATCGAGACTCAAAAAAGTTTATGTTGGTAGTAGGTATGTAAGAAGTATAGATACTTTGCACCCTAAGTAGCTTACTTAATTGAAGGCAAGTAACACATTTGATGTGGGATGTTTATTTTTGACCATTTCAATATCTTTAGGGTTTTTAAACAATACTGCTTTTGCACGCGTGAAATTCATCCGCCCGTTTACGAGTTGAAATCTTAGAGGCCAGATTTCGTAGAAAACTATGCGTTTCTTTGTTTTTTAATATACTCGTATGTTAATACATAGCGTGGACGAAAAGAAAGAATTTGGTATTGTGAATACTACTATTGCTTCATTAAGTACTACAAAATCCGCTGGAACGCTAAATTACGTTTGATTATCACTTCCAGCCATGATTAACAGTGCTCTCATAGTACCAGCCTTGGCAAAAAGACTAAAAGTTATTGTAATCCTTAACCTGCCTGTCAAAATCCTATCATAACCAATTTGTTTTGAACGAGCCTAATTTCGTTCATTTTCGTAGCTTCTTCACTGTTTCCTTTTGTTACTTTTGATTCATTTCCCACCTTCAACATCCACGAGTAGCTGGTTACTAGGGTAAGCGTTGGCTACTGCGCAAGAGTAAAAAGGGCGCCTCAATATGCAATGGCAAAAAATTCAGACATAATTAGATAGTTCACCCTGTATATACCGAAACTAGCAGGTAACAAGCTCTTTATTCGTAATAAACCAAGAGTACAGCAGTTTTTACTTTGTAGCTGATGCATCTTCAAAATCTCTAAAATTTTTACGCTTTCGTTACTTTTTTCTCGTCAACCATAAACGAATAGAAATATAGAACCAACGCCTATGTCTAGATTTTTGGGTTAAGGGTGTATTCCACTTAAATTTTAATTGTATTTGACGTATGATGGGTTGCATAATACTTACTTGTAATAAAATGGTAACGAATAAACAAAGATTGAAGAATTTACTTGCCCAACCATTGTATAAAGCAAGCAAGTAATTACACTAATTTATCCAGGTCATTAGTCATTGTGACGAATATGCATATATAATTAAACATCGATTAGAAAACGCAAATCATTGTCACAACGGCTAATCCTCAATAATTTCACTTTTCCCAGTTTTTAATAAGACGTATATATTTTGTTAACCCAGTAATTACTCCATGAATTGTATTGACCCTATCTGGAAAATAATGCATGTAAGTTATAAGTACCTATAAATTAGATATCTTTAAAAAATGTACATTTTTTTACTAATATTCTAGATGTGTTACAAAAAATCGTCTAATTCGGGAACAACACAAAATAAATGAGAACTAACGCTTTTTACGCAAATTATATCTCTTTCCGAAGGATGCTACATGGGAATAATCTAAAAATTTTTTCACACTAAAATTTTAGGGGTGTTACAAAAAACGTCAGAAAAGACGCAAACTTTTAATTCACCCAAAAATAAATTACATTTTCCGTGTGAATTCTATTACCCAGTATATTATGGAATTATAATACGTTCTAATGAATCCGGTTTCTTTTTGTAAATTAGTCCCGATAAACGCAACAATGCCGCTAATGAAGTCAGGCCTGCCGTATGATGTGTTGCCTACTGTACATTTATAAATGGTGAATGACTTCACTAAACGCTACAAGTTTTCCTAAAAAATTTCGAATGAATATTTCGTCTAAAATTTTTTGTAATTTATGTGAAAGGTTGGTCGATGGCTCTATGGTTTGCTAATGTTTTTTCTAAGTATGCTACAGGGTGATTTTTAAAATAATTTGTGTTGACGCCATTTTACCTATAAAAGTTCACTTTTTATTGGCAGTGCTCTAAAAAATGTTTTTTTTATATATTAAAATTTTGTTCTGTAGCATACTTTTTAAATGTATAATTTACACGAAAAAAATTAGCCCCGTCTTTCATCTCATGTTTTACAGAATTGAGACGAAATATAAATCGCACTATTTTCGCATAAATGTTGTACTACTGGATTACACCCTTAAGGTTGCGGAGTAGAAATTCAAAAATTTTCAAAGTCCTCGTGTGAGCCGGTTTTGACTCCACCATCAATAATATCTTGTCGAAGCCTACCACATTCACTTTGTCGGTACCCACTTTTGATGCTCCCAGAATCATAGATTTTGGTGGATTTCGCTAAAAACTCTCTACAAAGTAGTGTTTTTGAAACACTTCACATAGCCCGAGTTTCTATTGTCGACACGAGAAAGAGAAACCGCGAATCGAGCTTTAAGAAACTTTACACCGCGTGGCAAAATTTGCACCGGAAAATAACTTTTGGGCGCCGACTACATGTCGAAGACGCGCGCCTTCCAAAAGGTGGTTAATTTCGCCCCTACGGAAAAAAAACAAAATTCTGCCACGCAGGAGTTGTGCGCATTTACAAGATCTTTCTGACGACACCAGTTTGAAAGCAATCGCACCAAAACTGTCGAAGAAGTAGGAAAAAACTGAAAAATCACCACGTTAATAAATCACGATCGGGAATGGCACCCAGATGTTGCCGACGCTACATCATGAATCTCCGCCCTTAAAGTTGTTAATTATACCTAAAAAAACGCATTTGAAATTTTTTAATTCAATATAATTGGTAAAACGCAACTGAAGGTCACGGCCGGTTTTGAGGTAACTCAAGTTTCTCAACGAAATCAAGTAGCCCGTGAAAAGTTGAGGTGACATCCATACGGTCAAAATTTGAATATTACACTCTTTCACCCTTAAATTAGCAAAAAAAAACCCTTAAACACCGATGAAGTCATCAGTAAAGCGGTTTTTTTTTGGCGATTTTGAGTTAAATAGGGCACGGGCACGTCCGACAGCAACTCATTTTTGATCGCCCGTTACTTTCTTATTTCTTTGGACGGTTGGCTGGCTAGCTGGCTGGCAGCAAATGAGGGGTCGTAGAAGAACGCTTGGAGAAAGACGAGGAGTTTACATATAAACTGACCGGAATTTCAAAAATACCAAACATTCAAATAGATTCGCAATAAGTTTTTTAAAAATATGCTAAAATTTTTCAAAGGTTTTAAAAATAAAAACATCTTATTCCAAAGGCTCTAATGGATTTCCATATCACAAAAGAAATAAATCTTTAATTGCGCAAAGCTCAAATATGTAATACCAGCCTTTGATACATACGAGTAGTAAGTGTCGTCTAAAGGACGATTTTTTGGTTGAAGCCTATAAATAAATAAAAGTAAACATCAAACGTAAAATATGAGTTTTTATTAAGACAAAAGAGTAGTTGAAAAAAATCATATTAATCAATAAAATTGTTTATACAAAATGTATATAATTTCCATAGTAGCTGGAAACATAGTACATACAGACCTAGCGATTTTAGGTTCATTATTGCTACATTTGCTACGCTACGTGGTTCATTTAAGTGCCATTTTGTTAGAGTAAATACGAACGCATATTGGAAAGAATCGCTAGTCTAGAACGTCATTCAAAAAATAAAGCCGTGGGTGGGTAATTGATACGTTAATGAATATCAATCCGAACACAATTTGTGCGTGGCACTTTAATAAGCGAACATATAAGTTGTCGGCATGCATTCTGTTTTCATAATCAATTTTCAATTTACCGATTTAATTAACTTCATATTAAATTGTAGGTTGATCCCCTAACGCGAACGGGTATAACAGATCCAAAGAAGAGGCCATTCTGCAACGCATTCACAGGTAGGTACAGTCCAATTGCAAAATTCCAGTCTCACGTTTTTACTGAAAAAAAGGTTGCGGACACAAGCGATCGAATTTGCCGGCTTTAACAAATCGCGGCGAACCTGTGGAAGAATCAATTGGTAGCCTATTGGAATTAAGTGGGGAGCCCGCTGTGGAAGATTTATCTCGGCAAATAATGTCAGAAGCTAAACTGTGGGAAGCAATTCAAGAAGCAAATGTTGAATTAGCTCGCCGTAAACAGGAATCTGCTGAAAGCCTTGATAATGATCCCTCATCTCCTGCTAGAAGCGCCACCGCTTCGTGCGCCCTTCCTCCATGCTACATTAAATAAATTTCTTTATTGATTTCACATAAAATAGCTTACTGTGTTGAATTTAGTTAATAGATGTCACTTTTCTAATTTAAGACCTCTAATCTCAATTTTTAAATCGATTCTGTTGTAGCAAGACGATTTTCTGTAACGCTGTTAGTAGGCAAACGTATTAGACTGCATCATCCCCAATTTTAATTAAACGCAACGTTACTCGAGTGCATATTGTATTTTCTACAGCTCAATAATAGGTACACATTGTTATATCACTTATATTTTTTGTTCGATCTCATGTGTAGACAATGTAATGTAACAGAATAAAATTTGAATTGTGTTTTATGTGTGTAGCTAATAACATTTCTTACTCATGTCTTATCCCACGCAACGTTGTAGTTTAAATCTGTGGTTGTAGCTTGTATTATTATATTAAGAGTTAAGGTAAGTACCTATACCTATCTATACCAAGAAAATCTGGCAAAAAAAGATACGTCGTATAATTAATTGCCTTTACAATAATTGGTATTACATTTACATTATAACGCGACACGAAAAGTGGGCTAGGGATAGGGGATAGGCAACACAAATTTGAAATAAAAGGCGAAACTTAATAATAGTAATTTTTAAGCCCAAATATTAATTCTAACTTGAGGTCTTATCGGAAACTGATAGAAGTGTAAAAGGTCATTAAATGCTTCAAATTATGAAATGAAACGCAATTTTTACTCAAAAGTTTATATAAAGTCATTGAATAAAAAATTTTTTATTCAATGATAAAGTATAGCGACGGAAGAAATGCAATACCCTCCATACAATGACGATAGGCAACTCAGATTACACTTTACCTGTACAATACACCTAATGACCATTAAATCTTAAATTGTTAAATACGATCGTTTATGACCCTATTAGACCAGTATCAGGAAAAGTTCAAATGGACTGTAATTAATAGGTGAAGAAATGAATAAGTGCCTGAATACTATGCGTTTTAACCGGTCCCGTTTGACCGGACCGTTTTGAACGGATGACTGCATCCAATTGGATTTAAATGCGAGCGTTTACACTTATCCGGTTGCGTTCCGGTCGCCGCAAGTAATGTAAACGCACAAAACCTTCCGGTTTCGCAGGATGCGTTTAAAACGCATAGTGTATTCAGACTCAGGAAAAAATTTAATTTTAACGAAGCACACACTTTATTGTAAGAAAGGCGTAGAAAGGCCAACGCGATTTTCTTTGTCAAATTGACACTTTTTTATGTCAATTAGGTATAATTGACAGTTTCTCCTGTCAATTACGCATAATTGACAGTTTTTTCTGTCAGTTAGGTATAATTGACAGTTTATTCTGTCAGTTAGGTATAATCATATATACTTCTCTTATATATATGGGTATAATGACACTTTTTTCTGTCAATTATATATAATTGACAGTTTTTTTTTGTCAATTAGATAATTGACAGTTTTTTTCTACTGTTGAGTTGTAACAGCTCATTATTTGGTTATTGTGATTTCTACAGGCGAATAGGTACGCAGTTTCGTAACTTTGTTGTTTTTGCGGTTAGTTTTTGAGAAAAAAATGAACATCTACGAAAGGAGCTCTGAGCCTGGCAATCCGGTGGGTAACTTTTGCCTTAAATCATTTTTTTATACAATCTCTAATCAATTCTTATATTGGGATATGTTGTATTTTTGTAGCTTACGAATGAATCTACTGACAGCTTGGTGAAAAAATACTTTACCTTTGGATTCCAACAGAAAGAAATTCTTGCTTTTTTGCAATTACTTCACGGTGTAAGCATATCCCCCAGAACGTTACGACGAGTATTATCAAGACTGCGTCTGTACAGGAGAAAGAACTATTCTCCTATACAAAATATTGTTAACTTCATTGAAATGGAAATCCAAAAATCGGGACAACTTCATGGGTATAAATGGATGCATTTAAGATGCTTACAAAATAATTTAATATGTGACACAAGATGTTGTACGTCACTTATTACGTTTACTAGATCCCCAAGGAGTTGAAATACGGAAAAGGAAAAGACTTCGCCGCAGACAATATTTGAATAAGGGCCCCAATTTTTTATGGCATGTAGATTCGTACGACTAAGCTAAGCCGTATGGAATATGCATAAATGGATGTATAGACGGATTTTCCAGGCATATTATTTGGTTAAGAGTAGGTTCAACTTCTAGTGATCCGAAGGTAAATTAAAATGACATAAAAGACGAGTAGACTTAACAATGTTGTCTTTTAGGTAATAGGTGGTTACTATCTAGACGTAGTAAAAGAAATAGGTGGTTGTCCCCTAACGGTCAGGTGTGACATGGGAAATGAAAACAAAACCTTAGAACACCTGCAAAGTTACCCTAAACGAAGTGTTTAAAGACGGGACCTGCAGAAGACCTCCATTTATTGTGGGTAAAAGCACTCATAATCAGAGGATTGAAGCTTGGTGGGGTGTCCTACGCAAACACAGTGCGCAATTTTGGATGAACTTATTTCAGACACTCAAAGAGGATAATTTATTTGACGGTTCCTTTCTTGATAAGTCTCTAATCCAATTTTGTTTTGCCAATCTTATTCAGGTACGGTAAAAGGTGAATGTAGAAAGTCATAAATGAAATAAAAAATAAAAATTAAAAACCAGCTATGCCATATTGCTGATGGTACTTACTACAGTGACTTTATACTCAACAGTGTGGTCATAGAGCGCGACGGCCGCCATGTTTCCTCCAAATTTATTATGGAGCTGATTGGTTTATCTGAATTCGTAGCTTTTGCTATGGTTAACTAGATTTATACAGACCACGCTCATGTATATACTCGTCGCCAGGAAAGATTGCCGGTCATAGAACACTTGATGCCGATCTACAATCGTATCATTTAATATTAAAAACATGGCAAATTAAATTACGTCCGTAATAATATTACTTTGATTAGAATATATTTCCTAATCAGTATTATTATTAGGGAAGTAATTTGACATGTTTTTCATGTTAAACCATACGATTGTAGATCGGCATCAAGCGTTCTGTGACCGGCATTCTTTCCTGATGTAGGTATAGTTGCAATAGTTTCCAACAAGGTGCTTTCATCACCTTGGTTTCCAGGTTAATTTCTACCAATCCGGTGTACCTGGAGGAAACATGGCGCAACCAATAGAAAACATGACCACTCTATGGACACACTGTTAGTATAACGTCACTGTAGTACCTACTTACTAGTCGTCATTGGCAATATTGCATGGCAAGCCTTGCTTGGTTAGTGTGGGTACTGTATTGAGAGGAACAGTGATATTAAGAAGTAGACATGGTGATTTATGTGTATTGTTTTTTCCTATGCCTACTTTTAAAAGACAAAATCTCTTCTGAAGGGCGCCAATTTTATGCAACCATAATAACTTCTTACAACAAATAACGATTTGGCTGTCATACCAATTAATTTAAATTGTTACCGGCACTATACCAATTGACAATATCAATTTTTTCTTCAGTTGAATACATCGCACACGAACGAAAATGAAATACGGAAGCCAAAGCATCAATATTCAAATTAATTAATACAACAGCCAGATCTTTATTTGATTTAAGAAGTTATTTTGGTTGCGTAAAATTAGGCGCTCTTCAGAAGATATTTTGTCTTTTAAAAGTAGACATAGGGAAATCCAATACACGTAAATCCCTATGTCCACTTCTTAATAAATATCGCTGTAGATACTGTACAAACGTTACTAGGATCGATTAAAATAGTGGTTCAACATTTTTGAGATTTTTTTATTTCAGAGGGATATGGATCAAGTTATTTTGGAATGGAACGTTCACAGAATAAGCAGATCACGAAACAGCATCTCGCCCACTGGAAAACCAGCCATTATGTTTGAAATGCCCTCTTTGTACAATGCAGATAATTATCTCATACCTGTACCGTCCTTTGCCACAGACGAAATGTCTATTCATTGTGCTTATAACTCATATCCTTGCGATAAAGATTTCTACGACCTGTGCAATATATTGATAAGTGAAAACATATGTACTCAATTGTAGTAGATCCTTACGCTGCTGTGAACCTTTATACAAATTTGAGACATGATCTGCTGGATATATTTGCTAATTAAGTATATACTGTATTTTTTATAAACTATTATACGTAGATTAGTCGCCAAAGGTTTATCTAACAATTTAATTGCATTAAATATATTTTTGTAAAAGTATTTATTTATTTCAATACCTACAAAAATTAAACACAAACTCGTTATTAAACTTAAAAATAAAAAAGAAGGTATATTATTAATTTAAAATACAAAAAAAATAAAGACTACCGAAAAAAATTACAACTGATTGCTACTTTTAAATAAATGCGGACTAACAATAATACATATCTTTAACGATTTCAACAAAACATAGATAAATAAAACACCAAAATTCTGAAACAAAATTAAATTCAGCTATAAAATAATTTTAATTTTACATCATGCACTTCATATTATGTCCATAACCCATATGTTTGAGTTAAGGAGGCTGTTGAACTCACTCCTAAAATCAACAAAGCTGTCATAAGTGCAAGGCAGTTCCAATAGTCCCGTACATGTATGAGCCACAGGTGTTCGTTGAAATCCGTTTGTTGTCGTAAAAGATACCTCAATAATCCTGGTAATCAAATCGGATCCAGTGCAAAACCTTAAAAAGGCCGACCTTGTTTTCAGATCCATTTCTTTGATATATCTTTTGAGATAATCATAAACTTTAGTCATGTTAGCAGTCATTATAAGGTCTTTTTTAATTTCTATTTTACCAAGTATATTCTTTGTGGTTGGTTCCAAGTCACCATAAATTTTCTCTAAATCATCTTTTGTAATAACGCTCTCTAGGTGGGGTCTAATGCATTTTGCCACGAAAGATGGCTTCTGTATTATTTCTTTGTGCGCGATATCAATAATTAATTGTTTTATGTTGTCTTTGCTTGGTAACCATTTAGTGTCAAAACCGCTTAATATTTCTAGAAGATCGTCTTTATTAGTATCATCGAAATTATCTACTGCATTTTTTAACAACTCACATTCTGATTCGCTGATGTACTTTAGAAAATTGGGTATCAATGACTTTTCTTCAGGTGAATCATAACCTAGACAACTGAGCATGAAAATTGGGGCAATCCTGATAGGAAAATATTTTTGACTTTTCCACCCAAACACTACAATTCTAGCTACAGCTTTCCATTGAATTTCTCCAAAATCATGCCTGATGTATGGTACTTTCATAGTAGTTCCCAACGTACACTTTTCATAAAAATCTTGCCAAAATTCGGATAAGGCATCCCGCAAGACGCCTCCCATATCCGAAGCAATCTCTATATATCTCCATTTGGTAATATCATTTCGACTTGCAAGTTATACGTTGCAAATGTTTCATCTTCAAATGCTTTAATCAATTCCTCAAAAATTTTTCCCCGATGAAGTCGTAATAACTTTGTTTCTACTAAAATATTATTGCTAACACCTGCAATGACGGTTCCTACGTTTTGGACAGGATCAGGGGATAAATTGTAACGATCAGCGTCAAATGCAGTTAAATCCAAACTGAATGTATCTTCAATTGGAATGTTATTCAATAACATTCCTTGGTCCTCGAGAGCTTCCTAAAAAATGATAATGTCAAATATTTCCATTGACTATGGTGGGTCGGCAATAACACCTGATATCAATCATTTTGGCACCACTTACCGTGTCAGTAGTTAGTGATGTTATTTTCAGAATTCTCCAAACGAGACGATCTTCGTAAATTACTACTTGTAGACGGTAGGTTGCTGGCTAGGACATCTTCAATATCGCTGTCATCACTCGTCATAAACATGCTGGATTTGTTAGCCTGATTAGTACCATTTGAAGGTTGTTTTGGAATGAGAGACTCTGAAGCAAGGTAAAATCTGAGGCGTGTGATTCCGGTATCTTTAAACAGACTGTCCACAGTTGCTGAGTCCTCTATTGGATGTTGTTTAAAATCCAGCAAAGAGTTTCTGAATTCATCAAGATTACCTTTCGTTGACTTTCCATCAGGGAAGAATAAATTTTGACTCTGTACAAAGATGTCCTTCGCTAAGCACGTTTTAGGAACAGATAATTTTCTAGTACCACCCCCTTGTTTTGCTCTGACTTGTGTCAGTTTTTGTTTCACATTATCATTGCACAGCCACCCAATTTCAATAATCCTCGTATTTTTTCACTTATAATTGCACAAGAGGTTTGTATTTTACCGAGTAAATTTGGGTTGTTTAGGTAATGAAAATCTGTTGCCTAGCAATTAGACGAGAAAAACTGCCAACTAATTGTCATATATGATCGGACTACGCATGTCCGATGTCAACGAGCGGTACGATGGCAGTACGTACTTGACGATTAACAAATAAAGAGCTATCGTAACCAACGTCCACGAATTACTATTTATTATTAACGCCTCTACCCTCGGCTAACATTACGCAACCGAAATACATTACACTAATAAAAATGCGACACCGCAGGTGGAGCATTTTTAGGTTGACAGTTTTTCGAGTTCAATTGCTAAAAGGAAACAGATTTGAATTGGCACAACCCAAATTTACTCTGTTTAAATACAAACCTCGAGTGTAATTCGGCAGGACAATTTAACGAACAAGAAATTCACCAAACTAATCAATTATTGACAGACGTCAAACTAGTCATATGGGTAAGGATAATGCGATTATTGGGTCGAAAATGAATAAGTGAAAAAACCACTAGTGCATTTGTCGCTGGAAAAGTTGCAGGTAACTTTTGCCGCTGTCAAAGTGACAATTTCACTGCGGCTTATGTGATTTTTTATACACGAGTTGAATTGTCTAGAGAATTGTACTTTTTTGTTATCGTTTCCAGAAGTTTTAGTATCTTTTGATTGTAGTTTTAGCCTCAATCGTTCTATGAGACTCGATCTACGTGCACAAGTTTTTTGCCTACAATAATCTTTTATTGCCACACGATCACCATAGCGAGGTATCCATTCTTTTAATTTATCGTCATCTATTATTTGCAAGGCTACGCTATCAATCTGAATATAAAAAATTAAAATTAAATATTTACTGATGTAACTAAGCTCTAAACACAACACCTACGTTTTCTGCTTTAAAATAAACGATTGACTGCTCTGCGACACCTCGTTCCACCATAAATTTGTATAAGTCGTCCATCTTAAACAAAACCTATATTAATATTTTTGTATATTGACAGTGGTGAATCTTACACCGACAGAGCGACAGAGTTAATAAATGTAGTGAAAAACGTTCCTCAAGATTTGCGTACACTGAATTCTAAATATTTTCGCAACGTTCTACGAAACATTTGCGAAACTACTCTTGAACAATATAATGTCCATACATATTATTAGCAACGCAAGGCGGACGTTTGAGCCTTAGGTTTCGTATTTGTTGCACCACCTTAAGCTAAGTAATAATGCAAAACGCGCAAAATTTATGTTACAATTACTCTACTGTTGCATATATTTATGTTCGCTGAGTTGGTACCCTACATAATACATTGAAACCATTTAAACTCTAATAATAATAATAATAATAATACGCTACCTGAGGAGCGTCAGGGCACGTCTGGAGCTATCGCTGGGCGTTGCAGCATGCGAGCCGATAGTGACGAGTTGGTGAACAGGCGGCCGCTCGTCGGGATACCCGAAACCTCTACAGCCGAAAGAAGACTACGAAGAGGACACCGACCACCTGAAGAGGACCGCCATGAAGAGACCTTTGTGCCTGCTTCTCAACCGCTTGTGGATGGGACCAGCGCAAAGGAAACCTCCAAAAGACGTATGAAATGGAACGAAGGGATGAATCGCTTCATTTTTGGTACGTATCTGGAGATCACGAAGATGGAAACGGACAGGACAGCATACAGAGGTAAACTATATCACGCGTTCATTACACAATACCCACATTTAGCACACTTAACAGGCTATGTTGGTAAGTATGAATTACATACTATCCCTAGATTTCCATTGTGAGTGTGCGAATATTTATTTTATTTTTTAATTTTTATTTTTCTTTAGAACCCTACATAACTTCACCAGACACAGACACAGACACTAATCGTTACTTGATTTTAATCCGTGCGATTAGTTAACCAGGCTAGACCTCAGTTCTCACAAGAAACACCGACAATAATAATAATTATTATTATTATTATAATAATGAATCTCCATAATCCGGAGATACCGTAGAACAGCATTTATCTTGTACTCCTCCTTTATCCAGAAGACCCTATTAGGTTTTTATTATTAATCTGTACTATCGAGGTTTCATTGTATGTTGTATGTTTTTAGATATTAGACAGCTAATAGAGTACCAAACTCACTTTATTATGCAATTTTTCACTTCCTACCAGGGTCACAACCCCGCGACAGTTGACTAAATTCTGGGATGGGCGGCTACACGCCAGGCATATGTCAAAGTATCAAGTATCAAGAATTTTAATATATAAAGGTACTCACCTCAAAATCACCCACATCGCCTTTTTCAGTCATTTCTTGCACTAACAATACAATAAACTACTGACAGAAGAAACTGTAACTTATGTCAATTATACCTAATTGACACAAAAACTGTCAATTATACCTAATTGACAGAAAAAACTGTCAGTTATACCTAATTGACAGGAAAAACTGTCAATTATACCTAATTGACACAAAAACTGTCAATTATACCTAATTGACAGAAAAAACTGTCAATTATACCTAATTGACAGAAAAACTGTCAATTATACCTAATTGACAGAAAAAACTGTCAATTATACCTAATTGACATAAAAAAGTGTCAATTTGACAAAGAAAATCGCGTTGGCCTTTCTACGCCTTCGTATTTTGTTATTGAAATTTGAAGGCAACTTTTCGTCACCATATCGTAGCGCTCTACAAATTGATTATTTATTTTTTTTTATAAAAATGTGTCTTTTCTCAACAACCAGTATCAAAGGAATCTCGATGCATTCCATTTATTCGCTTTATTACCACCGATAATTGACGGATAATTAAAAAAATATTGTACACTTCAATAGAATGTAACATTCAGGGAATAACAACGTTTTTAGCGCATTTCCACAAAAATAAAAAAAAATGCGCTATTGTGGCCACTTTGTCCGTCCGTC